CTCTCTCTCCTTTCTCGTATTCAGAAAAAGGGATATATAAACATTTAAAACATTCAAATACAACATTGGTTAACATTTTGATTTACAGGAGTTTAAATGTAAAAAAGAAAATTTTCTTTTATATATATGAATATATATTATAAAATAAACCTACGTGAAAAACAGCTGGAATCATTGAGTGGGATGTATCCCGACCTACAGACACATTTATTGTTCTGACACACGAACCAACTGTCCCTGAACACTGCACATTTCGCTGGCAGCTTTCGTTTAGTTGCAAATTTCCTGATAAACACAATGACATTTTTTTTCTATATATTCAAATGTTTCTGGTCTGTAAACGGTTCAAGTATGACTGAAAGTGATTGAAATATTTTAAAGTAGAATCGTGCTTTATATCATTTACCCTTAAAACAATTGCTTCCGAATCTATATACCCATCTCTGCATTTACAAACGCCGATTTCTTCTCTATACGATCGCGAACATGACTTGGATGGATTCACAATTCTTAGTTGACGTGCACAGATCTTTTGTGATGTTTTCTGAGATAAGAAAACGTTTCATATATATAAAAACGAAACAAAAGAAACTAAATTTAAATGAATAATTTTAAATTATGTCAGAAAAATTCAAAATTATTCATGGAAATACACTTCATTACATTTTTGATTGAATTCACATTCATGTATTTAACTCCAAACGAACGCTAAAATTCACTTACACAGTTTCATTATTCTTAAAACATCTTTTGATACAGTCGAGATTTGGAGTGGAATTCATAAAGACTTTTAGATTTTTCTTAAAAGTTGTACTTAAACATTAAAAAAATTTTAACTAAGAAAAATTCTTAAGTTTTAATTCATAAAGATCCTAAGCAAAATTCTTAACTAATTTTTTTTTAAGAAAAACATCATGTTTAAGTATAAGCACTATGACAACACTAGCGATTTGCCGTACTTTTTGCAACAACAAACGCGCTCTCTAGTGAAGGAGATAATAAATTCAACAGACGTGACGTATTATTAGCAGACGGGAAAATGGAATCGCAGACAAAAAAGGAAGCCAAATTGGAATGCCGATGAAACCCTTACGTTGACTAATTTAATCGATGAAAATAAGCGTATTCTTAGAGGGAAGTTGGGTCCAACACTGACGTCGTACATGAAGGCTCGTACGTGGCAAAGTATTGCACAAACGCTGACTGCAATGGGCGTTGGTCCAGCTAGAACAGCAGCAGAGGTGGAAAAAAAATGGCACAATATTTTTTCCAAATCGAAATCGGAAATATCCGATCATAGGATAGGTACGACTGGGACAGGTTGGTCTTTACACACATTTTCACTTGATCCGCGATCGTGTTCAACTCAATCATGTAGACCTGTGTATTATAGACTTTGATGTATCCTTCAGCAATAATCTTAAAACTCAATGTTAACCCTTCTATGCATTAAATTAACATTAAATAACACTCAACCATTTACAAATGGTCAGAAAGGATTGAAATTTCTGCAGTTTGGTTTTTCCGCGTACATTCATATAGTTTACATGTAACCAAGGAGAGATAAAAGGGGAATAACCCAAAGTAAAATATTTTCATTATTTTGGGGTGCCCCGCAGGATAATATTAATAGAAGTAATATCTGATCATCTTTTTTTCATTCAAAATGTTAGACTTATTAACTCACTTCACTTTGAGTGACAATTTAAGATCAAGGTGAAAAGTGTTTTTATTTATACATGTAATGCTTAAAACATTTGGAAAGGTAAATAAAGAGTGGGGGGAAATTATGCTGAATCAAATATTTGTACTTTAAAGGTGGTGGTCCTCCTCCAAAGGCACTAAGTGCAATTGCTGAGGCTGTGTCCAGTGTTGTGGGGGAAAATAACACTTGCCTGACTGGTATTGGAGGAGGTGCAGACACTACACTCATACAGCTAGGTCTTCTAGGAGAGGAACCATTGTAAGTATAAAGGATTTAAATTCTGATTTAATAGAATCATCAATAGATGAAGGAAAAAATGTTGTTTCCACCTTAATTCAGGCTTCACAAAAAATATTGAAAGTAGGTGGGCAATTTTAAACTTTTTTTTAATCTTTGAACTGATTTAAACAAATCTAGATTACACCAATGAAAAACAAGAGGCCCATGGGCCACATCACTCACATGAGTGACTTGGGTGATGCAGTTCTTTACCAGATTCCCCCACTTGCTATACCTATCATGCCCCTCCCTTTTATGATTTTAAAACTTTAGAATCTACACTACCCAAGGATATTATACTTTTATATAAGTTTCAGCTTTCCTGGCCCAGTGGTTCTTGAGAAGAAGATTTTTAAAGATTTGTTCTATATATTTCTATGTAAAACTTTGATTCCCCATTGTGGCCCCGCCTTACTCCTGGGGGTCAAGATTTGAACAAACTTGAATCTACACTACCTGAGGATGCTTCCATATAAGTTTCAGCTTTCCTGGCCCAGTGGTTCTTGAGAAGAAGATTTTTAAGTGACCCCACCCTATTTTTGTTTTTCTTGGTTATCTCCCCTTGTAAGAAGACTTGGCCTTCATTTTAACAATTTAAACTCCCCTTTACCCAAGGATGCTTTGTAGCAAGTTTGGTTAAAATTGGCCCATTGATTCTGAAAATGTGAAAAGTTTACAGACGGACGGACGACGCACAAAATGTGATCAGAAAAGCTCACTTGAGCCTTCGGCTCAGGTGAGCTAAAAATGAATTCAAATTAATTAAAATATTGCTTTAAATAGTTCATGAGGCACACAATTTTAGGGTAAAATTTTCATAAATCTTTTCTTAAAAAAATTGAGAGCTAAGATCTTCACTGCCAAAGAAAAGCACTGATAAGTGATTACACAAATTAGAATTAGGAGAGTGGAAACAATTTTTTTTTCTTAGCAGATCTGCATTTATGGCTAATGCTGTGCAATATATTCAAAATTGCACACTTAAGCCTTTGGGTCAGACAAGCCAATGAAAGACTTAAGAGAGCTTTGACCACAAATAATTTTTTTTTCAAATGAAAAAAAAAGCAAAGAATGAAATAAGAAAATTGTCATAAATTTTATGTTAAATAATAATTAAGCTTATAGCACAAATACATTATCATAAACAATTATGGGTGATGGACAATATTCAAGTTTGATCAAAATAGATTATACAAAGTAATTATATCCCTTTTTTCTCCCCAGCTGGTGGAATCTGTTTTTTAATTGGTCTCCTGGCACAATTCAAAATTATTTAATATTATTTAATGTTCACAAACTTTATTAGGAAAAAATGTTTCGTGAAAATAGAGAAATATTACAAAAATTAAAATTGATTTTTTTCAGGGGCATTCATGTTATTGAAGGACCATCCGACACAGTGTCATGTTTTGTGACTCCACCACCACCTCCTATGCCAAGTACATCCACATCCACTTCACGCCTAGTCTCGAGGACCTCCAGCACTACTGGGAGTACAGACCTAAAGAGAAAAATTGATGAACTTACTGTGAGGAAGTTGGAGCTCGAGGTGGAATATTATGCGCTCAAAATCAAGAAGGCAAATGGGGAAGAGTAAATCACATAATATAAGCTGCGATTGTCCCTTATTTGCATTGGACTTCAAATTTAAAAGCCTAAAATATATGAAAGAGAAAAATGCAGAATTAACTTGTAAAGTAATCTAATGTTATTTTTTTCATATGTATTTTCCAGAATTGTTATCTATATCATTTAAAATATTATGAAATAAATATTTATCTTGAAGTATTTGACTTGTTGGCACACTTTGTTGATGTATATATGTCACAAAAAATTATTATACATAAAATTGGATCTTTACACCCATCACTTGAAATATGAATTCAGAATTTTAAAAATGTTGCAATTTTTATTTAAAAAAATAATGAATGCACCATCCTTCTTGGTAGGTTTGAAATTACTTTTTTTGATTACATGAATTATTTAACTTTTTATAATTCTAAAAGAGATGGTTTAAAACCAAAAGATATAATATACCTCCAGTACAGATTCAAAAGTGAGTGTAAGCAAACAGTTTTCTGTATCTTGTTCCATCATGATTGCAGTTGTTGTTGTTGTTGGCATTTACAATCTGTTGATGATCATCCTCCTCCCCATCTTCATCACCTGGCGGGGGGCATGCAATATTACGGTCCTTGCAGATGTTGTGAAGGACGGAACAGGCTATTATCACCTGACATGCCTTTTCTGGTGAAAGGCGGATCTCACCATGCAGGACATGAAATCGCCTCTTCAGCTGCCCTATCCCTCTCTCCACCACACTTCTCGTCTTCTTGTGGGCTCTGTTTTAATAACCAATATTGAAAAAAGTTTGGAATAAAACAATTTCTCAGTATAATGATTAGGTAATAGTTCTTAAATTTTAAGTTTGTGTTTGATTTTCTTTTTTTTCTTCCAAAAAAACTTCAATTTTGAGATTATTGTTTATAATTAAGGAATAAGTCTAAATCATTGTAGCTCTTAACTCAACAGTAAAACTTAGTAAAATAAAGACACAAGTATTTCCAAACTTACCTATTTTCATCAATATAAAATTTTAATTGGAAATATTACAGGGCCCATTCAAAATTTAAAGGTCAATTAACTACTGATTGCTTTGTAAAATCCCATTTTTATTTTTCATATGCTAACAGGAACAATTTAAACATAATTATTTTTTTAAATCTTTATGAGGGGTGTATACATGTACATATTTCTAAGCTTCTGTCATTTATGATACTTAGAAACTACATGTACATGCATGTATACTGCAGAGAAGTAAAAATAGTGTTTTTTAAATTTTATTTTATTATTTTTTATTATTTTTTTATATCTAAATATAAATAATTTCAAAAAAGAAGAATGAAAAGAGGCAAAACTTTTTTTTAAAGATTTTTAATATTAAAAAAAAATGAGAAAAGCTTGTCATTTTAGTTAGCCATGATTTTATTATAGATGCGCAAATATTTGGATCCACCTCCTAGATTTATCTACAAGGGGGCGCTGGACAAGAGAGGGCGCTCGATATGGAAAAACCCCTACATAAACAAATACATGGGCGCAGACATTTTGGACACCCAAGGTTGTGCGGAGGAGAAAATGCTAGCTGGCGCGTGATTGGTCAATAAGAGAAAAGACTTGTTATGTATTTGACAAGTGAAATAAAGTTGAAAAAAAATCTGATATCAAGACTTGGGTTTCTTTGAGGTATATAGGAGTTACAGGTAAAAATTTGAATGGAGGGATGCACTTTGGTTAGAGATTTTCATTTGGTGTCAAACGCACCTAGTTGTAAACAAATGGAAATTGAAAGTAAAAGTGCAACGGCACGGTATATTTTTTCTGGCATTTTTTGTTTTCCAATATCTCGAACTTTCACGACAAAAAGACCATTTTCCCGAAATTCAATATATGTATCTGTGAGAGGTGCTAAAGTTTGTATGGAAGTCTATGGGAAAACATTTGGTGGTGTTTGTCCTATAGAAAAGGTGTGATTTCATGGATAAAAATTGATTACAGCCAAAAAATCAATCAGTTCCTATTTTTTCGGCATTGGGATTATATTTAAGTTAGTTTTGACTATTTGTTTAAAAATTAGAGGGTCTGGTTAAATTGGGGCTCACAATGGGGACTGCACATAGTGAAAAAATGCCAAACTTTTTGCCCTAGCTCTCATATTTTCAATAAATGTACATGTAAATAATTTTAAATAAATATTTATACCGAAATTTACTGTGAATATTGTAAATAATACAATATCAATATTTATGGGCATCATCAATACACAAAACATATGAATATCCCCCTCGCAGTTTGAGAAATTCATTTAAATCCATGTATTTTATGAGTGTAGACATTGGAACAGATTGAATAATCCTCTTTCAAATTTGTGTTAATCAGAGTTGATTGAATAATTTATAACAAAATTTGACTGCTGTTAGCTAATTAGAGTACTTTGTTTTTACATAAGGGGCATAATCCAGCAGAAAAGCTAGTTTCAGTCATGTAATCAGTGCTGGCTTGAAATAAGAGTTATACTATTGGTGAAACTTAGAGATTACTAGTAGGAAATTTAATTTAAATTACAGTACAATATATTCTTGCTGAAAATACATTGAAAATGTAATAAATATGCAAAATTATAACTGAAAAAATTATGAAAAAGGTGTCTGAATATCCCTCCTCCTTGCCATATCCAATCTTGATATTCTGCTGAAAGGAGGGGGGGGGTAATTTTGTGCTTTAATCATGCTGAAAAATGAAGGAATTTTGTTTAAATTTGGTTTATTTGAATAACAAGAGTCATGCTTATCTGCAGTTATTTTTTTCCAATTTCTTTGATATTTTTAAAAATAATTATCTGAGTAAATTCTATTTAACATGATTTTTTTAAAGGTATTACATCACAAATGCTTAAAAGAAATTCAAAAGATGGTGTAAATAATAAGAAATTAAGATATGAGCTGCTATATGCATTTATCAGTATGTTTTAATAAAATAAAATGTATTTTAGCAATGCATTATCAAGAAGGAAGAGATTAATGAACCCTACCCTCTTACAATGAACAAAACATGGACACTCTCGGGATGATCCTTTTGCTTTCATTAAGAGTTTCAAGGTATGGTTTTCTTAAAAAATCTAGTTAATCTCTTAATATTTAAGTTATTAAGAACTTTTTATAGATTATTAGAAAATAAATTTCCTCAGAACTGCAGTTATTTAAGCACTTTGCTTACAATTGAGCACTGTATTCAGTCAGACAATATGATTTATCTGCCCTTGGCATTTAATCAATTTATTAATTATGTCATTGATAAGAAATAATATGCTAATAAATATATTTGCCTTTTATGAGAATATACATATTTAACATCAATTACATGAAATGATCATGAAAATTGGCTAAAATGTAGGTCACCCCCCTTCAAAATTACAAAATTTTCAATGGGGATGTATTTGATTCTCTGATGCCAGCAACCCACTGCTGATAGATTTTTTTAAAAATCTTATGTACATTTGAACTAGATATAATTCTCTTTCTTTCCACTGATTATTTTATCTACATTAGTTTTCACTCTTTCCATAACCCAGCTTTCTCTTACAAAAACCTGCTGATTTTCTTCATTTTTCATTAATAACGGGTACCTGCTACCCTGAATGATTAACATGATCTACCTTCAGAAATTATTAGAGATAATAAGAAAAACAAGCAAAACATAAGCGAAATTAATCATTTTATTTTAAAAGTTTGAAAGAAAAATAGAGAAATGCTTCAATTTATAGACATTTTTTCTGTTTCACAGATGTGGGTCTGATTGACTGGGGTGTGAAATGTAACAGCCGATGGTGTACTTAAGCTAAGACTGTCAGTCCCAATATTCAAGAGGTGAGATAAACAATGAATATGTGTTCTAAATTTACTAAATTGACCACTTTTTATAAATGTTTCTTTTACTCTATAGGAAAAACCCCTACATAAACAAATACATGGGCGCAGACATTTTGGACACCCAAGGTTGTGCGGAGGAGAAAATGCTAGCTGGCGCGTGATTGGTCAATAAGAGAAAAGACTTGTTATGTATTTGACAAGTGAAATAAAGTTGAAAAAAATCTGATATCAAGACTTGGGTTTCTTTGAGGTATATAGGAGTTACAGGTAAAAATTTGAATGGAGGGATGCACTTTGGTTAGAGATTTTCATTTGGTGTCAAACGCACCTAGTTGTAAACAAATGGAAATTGAAAGTAAAAGTGCAACGGCACGGTATATTTTTTCTGGCATTTTTTGTTTTCCAATATCTCGAACTTTCACGACAAAAAGACCATTTTCCCGAAATTCAATATATGTATCTGTGAGAGGTGCTAAAGTTTGTATGGAAGTCTATGGGAAAACATTTGGTGGTGTTTGTCCATATGAACTAAAACGAAAGTAGCCTAAGTTACAGTTGTTCGTGAATTTTAATTTTTTTTAACTTCTAAATAGCTAAAACAATGACAATGCTGTGGAAATTGGATAGAAAATAATATTCATTACCTGTTGTAATTCGTCTGGGAGCCCTGATTTGGTCGCAGAAACGGAGTTAATAGCCAGCGTTTGGAAGGGTAACCACTGTCTCCGAGTAAGTGAGTATGGACAGGGAGATGATTATGCTCAAATAACACCTTGATACCACTCTCATTAAGGATGCGAGAATCGTGTGTTGACCCTGGCCATTTAAGAACAACATCAATAATTCTGTAGTTTGGATCAAAAACAACCTGAGTGTTAATGCTATGAAAGTGGTGTCTGTTTACATATTCATTTTCATACTCATGTGGGGCAATAATCTGAACGTGTGTGCCGTCGATGGCCCCTACAACGCCTGGGAATCCAGCAATTGAGAAAAAATCTTCTTGGTTTTTACGTATGGCCCCATGATCCAGTGGAAATTTAATGAATTGTGCAACAATTCCGGGGAAGACAGACTTTTAATGGTTGCAGTAATAGCCCTAGACACAGTAGGCTGTGAAATTCCCAAATCGTCTCCATTGCATAGCTGCATTTTTCCGGTGGCAAGG